TAAATTCAGATGGTTACTCATTTGATTTAGAGGAGATCGTGTACGACTGAGGCACTCGAAATGATATGGTTTACATTTAGTAGTCTTGTGTGTGGTTTGGGATATCTCTCAGGTGTTCGAACCGAAGCAGATGTTTCCCTGACAGGATTACTTCTCAAGTCTCTGATCTAAAGATATAACCTGGAAAGCAGTGGTGTGACGTCAGGAGTTGGCGTTTCATGGTATCCGGTGGCCAAAATTGGATTCACAATTGACCGATCCTTTTAGGATCTTGGAGTCTATGCACCCATTTGATTTGTGACCATGATTTTTCATTTCTTCTGGGTGAATTCTTCATATTCGCTGACTTTATTAAAGTGTAAGTTGTCTGCATCTTGTCATCACACCTTCCTGACCACCATTTGATCTCGTGAAGTCCGTAAGTTGAACTTTCCTGACAGACATTATCAGCACATGAATGAATGAGAGCGTTTCATTCGTCATTCAACTGCGATATATATTTATTGAAAATGAAATAACACCTTGATGATGTGATTTTGTAAACCTAGCCTGTATGTTGGACTGATTAAACTAATAGCTAATTAAGCCGAAAACTTCAACAGACAAATTAGTATGATCGAGTATCTTTGTCGACTGCTAGACGAGTGAAGCTTTAAGCGACAAACTGAACTTCACACCACTGATTGAGTAACCGAACCTCGTTGACCCTATCGAAACGAGACTAGCTGAGGCCTAGTTGAATAAATAATGTTCATCGATTAAAAATGGTCAGCATTAGTCTCGGTGAGAGCTGCCAACACAGTGACTCCTGATCGATAACAACAAGGGTCGCTACATAATTGCTCATCTGCTGCTTAGTCTCAGAAGTCATTAATACTCATCCCAACCTTCGATAACGAGTGATAAGTAATAATTTCAGCAAGTATGAAATATGCGAAATTCGGAAAGATTATTTGTCATCAAAATTACTTTCAACATGCATTTGTACAAAACGGTATATTTTGAGGGAAAGTGATAAATACATTGCCTACACAGTTGACGAAACGTATTCAGTCTAGCTCATAAAAGACCACAGAAACTAGCACTTGACAAACGAGTTACAAGTGTTGAACTAGCACCCAAAGGACATGAATTGCTAATCTATCAAATGTAGACAGCATTTAGACTGTAACATTCAAAAGCGACATTCAACAATGGTAGTCTGCAAATTTTAAAATCATTTCACTGACCATCAGAGAAATGACCCCAATAGTTTTTATAGCCTTTTTTCCATGTATCGCACTAATGATGTTAAGTGCCAGTTATAGTAAAATAAGCTTTATCTAAGCTTCCTGCGTTAGTCAGTACTGAAAGCAGGATGAACTGCTGGTAAGCTAAGACAAGATAACCACAATATGATAATATCTATTAATAATTGATTGCCCAATAGTTAAACTCTTTTCTTCCACTTAGGTGGAGCATCACCTGACTATGAAATACGAAGAACGTTACGAGTACTTCGTAAATCAAAAACTGATTCCCATAACCTTCTCTATCTTACTGTGTCTAATATTCCCAGTGTGTGTGCCAGCACTAAGTATACATCTACATTAAATACTGGATGTTCAAAACCGACATCTCTCTGCGAATACAAGCAATCCATTGATAGGAATGGTGTAAGCGAAATTTTGTATTGTGACGAAAATTTTTAAGATAAACATTTCATCATTATTGAATGAAGTAGTCCACTCACTCAACTATCATTGTAACGCTTCTATAGCGACTACCTGTATTATCTTTCATGAAACTGAGTGAAGTTTGTCTAAAATGTTTCAATATTACATCGCGAAACAACTAAACGTGAAATAATCAACGGATATATATATTTTATTCAGAATGAAACTTCACACTGACAGACCATGTGCTGTATTATAACAATATGTGTTTGAACCATTTATGGGCGAGTGTCTGAAGACCATTTGGAAATAATCACACTAATTTTGTGTTAAAAAGTTAGGAAGACGTTTCCATGCAGCATATTAATCGAGAACAAATGTGTAAGTTAAGTGGTTAGGGATAACAGGTAGAAAATTCTGCACCTAGGTTTCGCACTTGTAGAAACTTGTCAGAAGGTGCACCCGCAATCTTGAGATAGCTCATTTCACTCATGCAACGAAAAATTCACTCACCCAACTTCATAATCTGAGTCCTTACCACTGAGCCTTAGGAGGCTACTGACCTCCTACAGAAATTTTGCGATTATTAGTGACCAATGTCATGTTTGTTTAGTCCGTAATAGTAATCGAGTCCTATCGATCACGTTGCTTTATAGTCACTAACCAATATTGATTGAACATCGTATAAAAAACGCTTTGATGCAAAAGAGTAACGGTTTCCTCAAGACTGTAGACACAATTTGCTGTCGAGCGCTAACCAGCCCGAAGCCGAAGTCATGGTTTTCTGTCGACTACCTCCAACTAGCTTACATCAAAACACGGTGCATGCAATGTCAAGTCATTTGGAATAGTGGCCACATTACAACTTGATTGATGGAATCTGATCAGCATTAGAAGACTGAACAGTGTTCACTCTATACAAACGCATGTACACACTTTTTAAAAACATGCAAGTGTTTAGCCCATGTACTTTTTGTTTCAGAAACATTCAAATCAGTGAACTATTAGAAATACCGAAAGGCTTTATCGGCTCATTTGTTAACTATTTAAATCGAATGATTGTGTTGGAAACTTTATAGGGTAACATTAAATCAAAATCTCGTTGGGAAACTCATTTCAACAAAGTTAGTCACATATGAACAGAAAGAATCACTAATCCAATGAACTCATTCTCATGTTGATGTTCACTCAAATTATCTCACTTTTTCATTTGCCTGTTTGTCTCGAAATAGTACATTGAATAAAAAATACAAAATGATCTATACGGAAAGCATGTGAAAATATACTCGGTCTACCAGCTCTTCAACAACCTTGTTATGATCTACCGATTTTTTTTAAATGTGAAAAATAACAGAAAGGTCAAACTAGTCAATTAAAATGTGATCAAGAAACGTTTGGAAACCATAGAAGGATGAATGGAAAGTACCATTTTCGTTGCATTATGGTCAGACTCATTACTTGTGTGAATATGATCAGTGAGTAGTGATCATTATCATGTTCGGTTAGTTGCCTAATTTTGTTTCCTGTTCGTTCCCACTTTCCAATGAAAATTCAACGACCATGATGGATAGATATGCAGCCACCCTTCGAATTGTAAGTACCACAAACTGACATCCTGTAAGTGATTTATTCTCAGTTATTCTGAGTCAAGATTACCACCAAATGAAAACTAGTGAATTTCTTTTCATCACTGCAACACTCAAGTTGTCTACTCTAATAATAAAAGAGGTCATCCGTTTATTTTCTTTATCGATCTACCAATCTGTTTTGATTGTTTGTGTGTGAGTTGACACGTAAATGATTTGTTTTCAATATTATTTACACGGCCTAAATAATAGTGATGCAATGGTTTATGCTAAAACAAGAATATTAAAACGTCCTCTGTAATCGAATTTTATTTTCTCACAAATGAATATCAGTTAAACAATCGAGTACATGTTCAGCATTTAAATATCTACTCATTACTGCTCAATAGTAGTATAGTTCAATTGGAATGCAAGTTTCGTCATGGGGTGATAGAAGTCATGTGCTGGGTATCATACAGTCGGTAGAAACACACGCTGTCGAAGAGTTCATGACTAGAAGTAATTGATTTTCAATGGTTTACTGTCTAAAATCGTTTTATCGGTGTTCTAATAAGTCAGCATGCAATATGAGCGTAAGTGGAAAATGTGTGAACTACTCGACTCCAAATCCATGTTCCATATATTAATACACGTTCGTCTTACTCGATTAAGTCCTAATGAATAAACAGTTGTCGAGACTAAACTTGAACTATGTACGTAACATTTATGCAAAACAAAAGTAACTTGTATCATTCAACTTAACCATGAACTAGTTAAAAGATTTTTGTTTTACAATAAACATTCTGTTCGTTGACTCGGAATACTGTAGTGTCTATTATAAAAATAGTGTTTTCATTTTCCCTAGTTTTATAGACGTGTAATTAATGATTCATTCATTATTGGAACTTGTAGTCAGTTTTATTACAAAATTACAACAAATGCAATATACACATAATACATTCAGAACAATAAATAGGAAATAGATTTAAAAACAAATAACTGCTATGAATGAGAAGAAAATCAATTCTCTTGTGATTTATACACAGCTTAAACAAATGAGACTATTCAGCTGTGATTATTAACATATGCGTTAAGGTTTAGTCAGCAAGTATCAATGACGCTTTGTTCAACTGAACATGCCACAGTAACTTCATCTTGTTTTGAAATTAATTACACATGTTTTATAACTCAGGTGTATCTAAAACTACTATCGATCCATCACAAGATGAGACATTGTGATGATCGGTTGTTTTATTCCTGGACTTTAAAATGTCATAACAAAACACAATCACTCTAAAGCTCATATATGTAAAGCAAATACAATTGATCTACCATGCCTTATCTCATATGCAACGTGAACATTGTATATAACAAATTGATAATTTATCATGCTGAAAACAAGTACTTAACATTGGACTGTGAACGTATTTTACTCCACAAGTATATTACATTTCATAGATATTTAGATAAGTCTAAACTTTAGAAGCGCCTACACAGTTTGCTGAAAACACAACTACAGGAAATCTCATGCAGCACAACGTTTACGTTATGAAATGCTCGGAGAGCATGTCAATGGTGTATACACAAATTTAAATAAAGTGGGACAGTTGTGTAGTCATGGTAACAGTTGACTGTTACTTATGTCGTTACAGATTTGAGCATTTGTGTATCATCACTAGTCCCCGAACAGACTTCTAATATTCACTTGGTGACTGAGTTACATTGAAGACTGCTGTAAGACGAAAATTATGCTGTGTAGTTTAGTTCAGGACTAATCACTTCAATGAGGGTCATTGAAAAAAGTTCGAAAGTTATTATTGGATAGTTGATGACAGTTAATAAGAGACTGATTAATACATCGAAATAACAGTAACATCATTATCAATAACTCAGTAATAGTATGATAACATTTTAATAACTTACCAGATGAATCTTTGTAGGATTTAACTAGTCTAATAGATCCATTATTATCAATACTTAAAAATCTTGCTTTTGCTGGATAATTTTGTACAGATGGAGTTAAAAACAACGGTGAAGTATCATAATTAGACATATAAAATGACAAACTACGTCTAGTTCTCTGTGAACGCATAAATACATTTATTATTGGTACTTTACGATTTGATTGAGTTAAATTTAATTTTGGAAAAGTTGATAAATCTAAATACTGTAACATTAAATCATCCACACTTGACGGTTCCGTTGTGTGATTAGAGAATATCATCAGTGATGATAGAGGTAAAGATGAATTTGGAAGTATTGTTGATGAAGGCGAATTGGAAGAGTTGATTGGTGACGATATTTCAATGAAAGTTTCACTTTTAGATGATGAAGTAGGTTTACCGTAGATACATTGGACATTTAATACAGTGAATAATATATACATAAATATAACATAATACTGTACAGAATGTTGAAATCGATGTAAACTACCATCGGAACTGATTGTTCGATGTGGATAACACCGAGAATGTTTACTGGAATCATATTCGACGTTTATAAAGGCATTATGAGCAGTGTCAGTAGTAGTTGTCCTATGATTTATATTTTCACTAGACTTCAGTTGATCAGAAACAGATTTTGTCTCTCTATACCATGGCAGATGTTTATAAAAGCCAATATCTCGTCTTGATAACAACTGCATTCTGTGACTGTTTGAGGAACACCGACAATAAGTATCATTATTATTGGCTATAATTATCGTATATCGAGTTAAACATTGTCGTAGTAGAGATTTGATACATTTAAAAAGAAATAGTAAATAATCTGTCATGAAAATAGCGTTCAACTGTATTGATGATTGCAGTGACAAAAATAACTTGAAGAATGATTTAAATATAACTGAAAATAAAAGCAATATTGATGACGACCTTGGCAATGACAACGAGGCCGACAACAATATTGTTTCCGATGATGTGGATGAATGAAGCGAATACAAAAGTGAGTGCAATTCTGTTTTAATCTGATTAATATCCAAATTCAATGAGTCGGAGTTGTATAAATCCATGAGTTGAATCTAAGAGATGATTAGACAAGTTATTTGTTTATTCACAAAACAAATGAGACTCAGATCTAGTTTTCCTGTGTTTAACAACTGGTTAGTTTCATCAGTGATATTCATGTCAACAGATAAATCACTGACAATTAATTACAAGCAATTTGTTCAAAATTCACTGTTAGTGCACATGAAACAAACACAATTGTAAACATCAAGTGTAAATGAATTGAATTATGTGATTTTAGTTATGGTGAATAATATTTATCACAATTCCAATGATGAATAAGATTGTTTTTGATCATAACGCCCACTCAGATTAATTTCAGTTTGTAGTTAGTCGAACAGGTGAATCCGCCAATGAATGATGAGGAGAAATAAAAAGCACACACACCAACAAGCATACATAAATCTAAGTTTATGCACTGTTCACATTGTCTTCAGAAACCTGTACAATTGTATGATGGTAACAATAACAATAAAAGTATAATGTGTGTGTTAAATATTCACACGTTAAGACTTATGTTTCCTTCATCTGGCAATTAAATCTCCCTTTTCATAGTCTATATAATATTTCTCGCTGAAGTTTCATGACTGACAATCAGAGTAGATTTGTTGTCCTTAATAATTACGTAAGTTAAAGCTTACCATCCAATCGACTTTGAATAATTACATAATAAAAAGACAAATGAAAAAGAACGAAAAATTCAATAAAAAAACACCGTGTCAATGATTAAGATTTTCATGTCGTAGATGTTACCTTGACGTGGTGGTCGGGCTTGCCTATCGTGATGATCTAACCGAGCTATACTGACTGAAACATATGTTCCTGTAGGTCCTACCATGACAAGCAGGTCGATCGGTGAACGTTGAGACTAAAAGCAGCTACTCAAGGTCAGAGGGCGGAGTCGTACTGCTGACACTAAAGCTGTGTGACGGCAATAAGGTGTTCACCTAGGACAACCAGCAACTGCGGCGATGCCGCCTTCTCACAAGGAAGGAAGTGTTAGAAAGATCGATCCTAAAAGTGTCACACCTTACCTCACGGATTTCCGTCTCCAGCGGTTAGGCATTTTAAACAAGAGCAGAGCTAACGGTTCAAAAACTTCTTTTAGAGAGGCTGTGAGTGACCGGCCTCAAGCGGTTGTTCGTTGAACTCTGAGGTCACGCTCTCAATTTTCTAAGACCAACACTAATCTACCTTTCCACGGTGTTGGCAGCTGGAAATTTACAACCGCCCCCATACACTTAACAGCACGTGAGACCGAACTGGTCACAAAGAAATCCTCCCTACACTCCCTAACATCTCTTTTATCTCCACGACTAACTCTACTCACATTCCTTTATCTCCCCGCACCTCTGCTGCAAACGATTCGAGTCCTCGAAACGTTATTCCTGGTCTCTTGAAGACCCGTTCTAAACTACATGTTGGAGCATTTAATGTACGGACATTGTGTCAAATAAGGCAACAGGCTTCCCTACCTAGGACTTTAGAATCTCGCGCCATCGATGTTTGCTGCATCTCGGAAACGCGTATACAGGATCTGAGTAGCGTCATTCATTTGACTTCACCATATAAAGATAAAGAGGCAACTCGATTTACCCTTCGTGTGTCTGGAAGCACTGACGCTGCTTCCAGCGGTCTCGCTTGTGTAGGTATAGCATTGAATCCTATGGCAGAATTAGCTCGCCAACATTGGATCCCAGTAGATAGTCGCTTGTGTGCTGTCCGACTAAACGAGACAGTAAGGATTCGTAAAGATAGGGACATTCGCCGTTGCTCCCGTTGACTGCACTTCAGACCAGGTGAAAGATGAGTTTTACAGAAAGCTTTCGGACCTCCTCCAAAAAGTTAGGCGGTCTGATGTAGTAATGATGACTGGTGACTTCAATGCACAAGTAGGTAGACTAATTAGAAAGGAAAGACACCTAGGTGGATATTATGGTGTCGCGGCTCAGAGAACAGACAATGGCGAACGTCTGTTGCAACTATGCTCAGATAACCACCTATTCCTAGCAAACACTAACTTTAAGCATAAGGAGAAACATCGTTTGACCTGGCGACCCACAAAGCCGTCTCAACGTTGGACCCAACTAGATCACATTGCCATCAGCCACTGATGGAGGGGTTCAATAGAAGACTGTCGCTCGTTCTGGGGCACATGTTTAGATTCAGTTCATGCTCTAGTGAGATCACGTATTGGTTTGTGACTTACTGGACGTAGGAAAGACACCGCGAGGAAACCTCTTAGGGTTCTACCAAATGATTGTAGAGCTACGAACATATTTCAGGAACAACTAGAAAGACAGTTAGGCGACCATGTAAGTGATTCCAATCTGGAGGCAGGTTGGAATGATATCCAGAAGGCTGTGGAAACAGAAGTGATATCTGCTAGTAAGGTTAACCATAAGGCTAGAATAAAGCTGTGGAACTCAGTAGCATCTACCGAACTGATGGATGCTCGTAAACTCATCCCACCTGACTCTGAACATGATGAAGACCGAAGCCAGACTAGGCGCGGCTTATAAAAAGCCTGCAAAATGATCGCGAACAGTGGTGGGTGGCGAAAGCTAGAGAGATGGGAAAGGCAGTGGCAATAGGCAACTATTTGGACTCATTAAGAAAAACAATATTAGAAATCCATCTGTTAGCAAAACCATCTCAGAAAAGGATGGGCATATGATTCACTCTCAATCCAGGAGATTGGACCGATGGGCAGAACACTAAATGGACCAATTCAGCTGGCCTTCAGCCACACTTCGGTTGCCCACGATCTCCAGGTTCATTGGCATTGTCTGTCATCGAAAGGTGTACCAAAGAAGTACATTAACCTCTCTGCTCGAACACTACAGGTCAAGTGACTGTCTATAGCGAACTATAATCGGAATTCCTTAATTCAAGTGGTGTCCGTCAGGCCTGTCCACTTTTCAAATCCTTGTCTAACTTTGTCGTAGATATGTTTTTAGGGTTAACATTATCATCTTCTGACTCTTCAGGAGTGGACCTTCTACTAGGAGACACGCTTGCTGACTTAGAATATGCCGATGACATAGTTCTATTCGATGGAGACGCTGACAAAATTCAGAGTCTTCTGACTGCAAGCATTTTCAGTATGCAATAACAACAAAAGTATAATGTGTGTGTTAAATATTCACACGTTAAGACTTATATTTCCTTCATTTGGCAATTAAATCTCCCTTTTCATAGTCTATATAATATTTCTCGCTGAAGTTTCATGACTGACAATCAGAGTAGATTTGTTGTCCTTAATAATAATAATAATAATAATAATAATAATAATAATAATAAAAGTTAAAGCTTACCATCCAATCGACTTTGAATAATTACATAATAAAAAGACAAATGAAAAAGAACGAAAAATTCGATGAAAAAACAACGTGTCAATGATTAAGTGTTTCATGTCGTACTGTTAAGGGAATTGCATGTTTGATGGGCTCGAGATTTTCTTCTATACCTCTATAGAGAGAGAGCGAATGAGAGAGTTAGTGAATAGATAAAAAGCCATCGAAGAAGGTGCATGTTTCTGCATGAAATATACATCATCAAGCATCTTTTTCGTTCAGACTGATATCATCAATTGGGTTTGTGAAAACCAATGAATATTAAGTAGTTGTTTTGTTTTTGTTTGAAACTGTTCAGTAATGCTCACTGATAACCTCAAGTATGATGAATTCAATAGAACAAGACACTTGCTTAAGAGCACAGCTTGCGGTTTTCAATGATTCTCCAAATGATATCAGTTCATGAAGTCCTAGTTTCAAGTGATGTAAACAATTCTTCACAAATCCACTATCTTGTTAGTGTAAGATATTTATCATTGAAAGAAACAAGAAGATTTTAGATAGATGAGTTGAAATAACACCGGAAACAAACTAAATAAAGTTAGCAAGCAAACAAAGACAATGTGTATTCAGAATCAGGGATTTTCACTTTTGGCGATATATTATTGACAGTTTTTGGAAACAAAGTAATCCGTAGCAGTTTGATGGGAACTGTAATCAATGAAATGTAAAATTTCCATTTTCAACTATTCTTAATTCGTGTGAAGATGAAATTCGGAATTTTTGTTGTTTCTTGAATAAAAAACAGTGAATATGCAATACAATACAATTCTCCTACCTTCCAGGTGTCGGGATGAAAATCATTTTGTAGTGATATCAATAAAATTCAATTCCTAGAATAATTGACAGTTTGAAGAATATTGTCCCAGGATTCCATTGTCATTTGTCAAGTTTGAACATCTAACGACTTTTGATACGTTGGATTACTGATGTTAGGTGGTTTTAATTAACTAGTTGGAAGATTATCACCAAATTTTCATACTGATTGGAACTCGTCGACAAGAGTGACTTATAATCTCAGGTAAAGAAGCTGATACTAACTATGAAATTCTAAGCTGAGTTACCTAACGTCATGGTTGGAAGAGTTATGTTGGTTTCAGCTGACCGCTTGTTGACTGAGATGGTAACTAATTTCATACCTGTTTAATTAGACTTGATTTGTGTGCATTCGAAGTGTTGTTCCAAGAGAAGCAGTTATGAACCCCTCTCTAAATCGAAAAACAGAATTTGTTGAGCAACCACGTATCATTACAAACACTAACACGTTCTCTTTCCATCTACTGAGTCAGATTTATCTGCTAGTATCAACCATAGTACTACCACTGCAAATCACTCTTAATTTAATATCAATACATAATATTTTGCATTGTTACATTGAATTGCTGGAGAGTGCCAGTACACGACAAACAATATTTGTGATACCTGATTGTTGTCATGTAAATAGGGTTTTCGAAGAATGTGTTGTCCTCTTCTCCTTAGTACTAATCTACGCACGCATGTAAGGTAAACGTCTTATCTAGAAGACGTTTTAATATCCCCTGATTTTTTATTGTGATGGATTTAATATGAATTTATCAATTTTGACCGAAATACTTTGAAATCACGTACATTAAGTAGATATTTGCATAATGGTGTATGTAATTTGGATACATACAAACGAAGAGGTTAGTACGAATATGTCCCTATGACACAACAATATCCTCTGTGATCGTGTTCAAAATGGCTACTAATATTAAACCAATGTATCAAAATCTACCTGGCAG